GCCCCTCTTTCACATATTATGGTCGTTTGAAACGGCGGGACGAGGACGACGCTCTGAAATTGTAGTTGTGCGTGCTCACCTGTGTTCAGACGGCATTTCAGGGGACGACGGACGCGAGAGATCGAAAACTGGAGGACGACAATATTGAGTGGTCGAGAGAGATCGAAAATTGTACCTGTTGAGTGGTCGAAAGAGATCGAAAATCGGAGGACGACAATGAACACGAGCAGCTTTGAAATTTTTTTTTTCGTTTTTTTTTTCGACCGAGGTTTAATTTGGGGAAAATAGGTTTTTTAAGGTTTTGGAGATGAAAATGGAGGTGGGCGGTGAATTTTAGGGGGACGCGAGGGTATTTATGGAGAGGGGTTTTGTGAGGTGGGATGGGCCTACCACGGGGGTTTTGGGCTGGTATTTTGTGATGAGTACGAAAGGACAGTGTGGGGCCCAGGCCCAATGGGATTGTGGGGATCACGTGTTGGGCTGCTCGACTAGTGATAAGGACTCCTTACCGTTCGTGGGCCCGGGGTAAATTCTGCCCGTAAATGTATCAAATATCTGCATCTTTGCCTCTTTGGCATCTTACTCTAGTTTTTTTATTTGGGCATAGTTTTGATTTGTGCATTAGTCAAAGTTACGGAAGTGATTGTTCTTTCTAAAATAAGGAGAATATTGAATTAGCTTGGTTGCAAGGTGGTGCTTACTGAAAATGCAGTTTAAATTGTTATTTCATTATTCAAGTAAATATATAATTGAGTAGCGATCAAATCGAATGAATAGATGCAGAAGGTTTGCACGAGGTCGCTTTGAGTAGTTAGGTTTGATAAATTAGTTTGGATAGAATTCATCCCAAAAAACTAGCTCAAAGGGAGAAAGTGCCTAATCCACACTCATACACTATAACAACCTACTGATTAATCGATGTGGGACAAACATAATTTCTTACAAGGTTCAAGCTACAGTTCTTGAATAACATAATCATGCTATAGTTGGAGAGAGGTGTGACATGCTCTAGTTCGTGGTCATCGACTTAAGAAGGGTATGAAATCCCGATTGAGGAGGATTCTTGTAAGGAGATATATCCGAAGAAGGAAGATTTTTGGGTACTTTCTATAAATCTTTCCGAATTTGGTGGAATCTCGAGCATATCCAATCCGTTTGTTTTGAGGGATTTGAAATCCCTTGATTTCAAATTTTTTGAAATATAAATTTTTTTACTTGCACGCTCCTTAAATGGATGTGTTGAAAATATTATAAATAAATTGTCTAGCTCGCACCGATAGTGTTGACTCGCGGTGGTGATGAACCTAAATGATCGCAGACGGCGTGGTCGTCAACGGTGGATTTCAAATGACTAGGTTTGAGGAGTCATTTCAAATCCTTTAAAATAATGACAAAAACATCTAGCATGAATTTGAAATTCTCCAACTTCCATTAGCATCCCAACATGTATGAGCATTTGAACTTGTAAATTTGAAATCTATGGATTTCAAATCCCTTAGTAAATCCCTCAGAACAAACGGAGCTTAAAAGAAAAGTAACATATTTTTGTGTAAATACAGTCTCAAATGGTAAAAAAAAAAAAAAAATCTCAATTATCATCACACTTTTGTGGAAATTAGTCATTTCTGGTGTTCGTAAACTGACTTGAGCATAGAAGTATTTAGTGAGGGAGCCTTCTAAATGCTTTGCAAGTATTTGAAATGAACCAATGAGAAGCTAGTTCGTGAATGCAGACCGTATCAAAACTTTGTGCATATTTATGAGACATTGTCATGAAATTGACTTATATATGTCCGGGTCAATCAGGTTAATCCAACCGAAACAATCGATCGACCAAATTTTGGCCAAATCGGTTTGAGTTTCGACCGGCTTGATTATAAACCAGTACGGTAATCAACTCAGATCATTACCGCTGTCACATAATGCTAATTTTAAGATCAAATATTCATTGCTTTTTGCTACACAATCTAATCAATATATGTATGTACATTAATTTATTTATTTTATTTATTTGTTGTGTGTGTGTGTGTGTGAGGAACATAAATAAGCAAAAGAAATTTGGAAGGGGATATTGGCCTCATACTTGGCTTTCTATGTTTGGATTCGGTTCCAGGTTTCAACATCACTGCTTTGTTCAGTACTTACTACAGTTTACGTTTCCAACATTCTTTCTCAATCCCATACGCTTTTAATTCCTCATCTTCTTACCACAACTCACTAAGTAGTTGGCTACCAATTTTATTCTATATATTATACTCAGTAGAACACTAGTGTATTAAATGGATGTCTGTTAAAAAAATTGTTCTTGAATTTTAAAATTAATGGAAAAAAGTATTTCAAAATTTGAAAACTTTTTTTGCAAAAAAGAAAAAGAAAAAATATCTATTATTATATATTGTATAATGACACTTGTTACTTGTGCGACTGACATGTGTTATATTATTATAATAATTTTTTAAACTTATACCGTATAATTATTTTAAAAATAACTGATTAATAATTTTTTTTTTCTAATTAATATTGATTAATAATTTTATTGTTATTATAAAGATCAATATAATTTATATATGTTATACATACAATATGGATGTTAGATCCAAGCTCATGAAGAGACTATTAATGCGATATACTATATATATAAAACTGATAAAAAGTACAAAATTATTAACTTTTAATATATATTTACAATGTTATAATAGGAAATAATTTTAAATACAATTAATACATCTAAAAGGAACATAAATAACCAACACATATATGGATAATCTGAACCTAATTATTTTTGGATTATAATTAAAATAAATCTATCCAAACCATAGAATTTTGTCTCATAAAATCCCGAAACATGCGAGCCTGCCACTTAGGCTCAGCACATTCGAGAATTATATACAAGAGGGATACTTACCTTTTATTTTTACCATTTATTCAATTTCTTATTTCATGGAAAACACTTTACCCCTTTAATCACAATTCATATATGAATAATGTAGGATTCATCACATCTTGTTAGTAAAAACTATATCAACTTAATTTTTAGATTAGAAGCAAATATTAATATGTCTTCAATAAATTTCAACTTAACTAGCTTTGAGACAAAACTAGAGTTGTAAACGAGACGAGCTGATCCGAGCTCGAGCATACTCGGCCTTGTATTCTTTATCAACCTGAGTCAAACTCAGCTCGTTAGCTAATCGAGCCAATAAATGAACTCGAGGTTGACAACTTGATCCTTAACGAGCCAAACTCAAATCTTAACAAATTGAAATTAATTTAATATTTCAAAATCTATGCACATAAAAGTTCTTATTTTTCGAGCTTATATAACAAGCTTCCTCAGCTCATTATCTAACTCGTTATGATCGAGCCAAAAGCCGACCAAATCGAATGCACTGAGTAGTTGAGTTCATTTATTAGCTCTAGCCATGAAGCGACATTAAACACACACAATGTTTTGTGTGGGGAGGGTAAGAAAGGAAATTAACTCTTGTGAAAATCACGGACTCATTAAAACTCTTCGTACTAGATAGTATATAGCACGTACCAATCTATTTTCGCTATAGAAAAAGTGTTTTGGTCCTTTTCTGAGTTATTATGGAGCTTGTGGTTTTTGTGCTAAATCAATGTCAGCAGAACAAAACACCAGTAAAATCCATGCAGAAAGCCATGTGAAGGATGCTTATCAGGTTTGACTGCATATATTATTAAATTTTATACATCAAATCAAATACAAACAAATTAATACGCAAATTATTAAAGTTTTGTACGAGCCAATGCCTTCTTTAATCAATCAGATCACTACCAATTAACTAACGCGTAAATAATTAATATAACATGAAGATCATAAGACCACATTTGGACTAGATTATTAGATTCTATGGCACGTTATGTTTTGTTTATTTAGTTATATGTAGTATACTAGTATTATAATGCTAGTGTAATACATGGAGTATTGATTAACAAGTCTATACTTACAAAATTAAAAATTAATATTTAAATTTGTAAATAATTATTCAAACAATAAATTATTATTTTTATTTGAAACAAAGGCACACTCATAAAGATAANAATTTGATATTCTAAAAATCATAATAGACATGGATAAAAGTCTGTACCTAAATGAATAGCTTCAAAATACCGAAATCCAACATATAAAATTATATAAAAATTGACATAAGCAAACGCATAAGATTAAATTAATTTTATAACACATTATATTTTTAATAAGTTTGTCTCTAATTAACCACCAAATTGACCAAAACACCCTTTGTAGGGCGAGCCCTTCATTATCAGGCAAGGCAACTTGATGATTTTGTCATTAATTTGTGGTCCTGACTCCTGAGCACACAGAAACGAACAGCAGAGGATAAAATAGTAATTACAAGGGACAAAAGGCCAGTTGTAAATTGTAATAGGAACCACATAACAAAAATAAGGAAAAAAAAAATTAATATCAGCATGTTCCACGGCTCAGAAAAAAGATCCCACAAAAGCACTAACGTCTATTTGTCTCTATTTTACTTGTTTATTTTTATTTATGTGTATATGTAGATATATTGTCTAGATATAAATATTTATATCTAGGCGAGTGAAGATTAGAATAAAAAACATTTAAAACAAATGAATTGTTTATGTGAAAATTGTGTGTACATTCTCATCAAACAGATGTGGATAGCATGTCTTTAGAACTTGGATTGTACCATTTTCTGAAATTAAAAATGACTTAGACTTTGAAAAATTTGTATAAGTTTGATTAGGCTAAATTGACCCATGCCATTTGATTTTCATGAGTTAGGTGGACAAATTTGGCTCTAGACCTTTGACATGAAGGATGCTATGTGAGAGCATAGTGAGTTCACATTCGCATAGATTCCAAATTCTTGTACGAGACAGTCTAACTGTTAGGCGAATCAATCCATCATAATTATTCTTAACTAGACTATGAAATATCATACTTTTGTTTATGTGATTTGTTAGGGTACACCATTTTAATCTAAAAGTGCATGTTTGCTGATACGATATATTATGATTATCTAATCGTTAGATCTCACTAATAACAACCTTACTTTACTGTATATAGATTTATGCAAATATTTTGTTACAATAAAGACTCCTTAAATAGAGTTGTCAAAACGACTACCTTTCGAGTCAACTCGATTCATTGGGCAAGATCAGTTAGAAAGCCCCAATCCAATTCAAGCCTCGGAAAATCGAGGTTCGACTCAAACATAGCCTCTTCAAGATCATATCACGTATTTCCTCAAATAAAAACCGACCAAATTACAGATCGGGTAACAAACACAAACCCGGATCTAAAACATGTTTTGATGAAACTATATGGTCCAAACTTTATACCTTTCTTTCTTATCACCAAAAAATTGGTGTGCCCTAATAAAGGAAAGTAGAAAAGTAAATGCATCAACTGAGTTTCTATTTTTCACAATGTGATTGTGACCAAGCAATCCATATAGCACATGAAGGCCATGTTACTCTTGCCTTGGCCCAAAAAAAAAACAAAAAAAAAATTGTCCTTTGACGTACAGTGAAAGTGTTGGGACTTTTCAGGTCCACTCCCAACTACTTTAAACTGTCAGCTCCTAAGAATGGGTACAATTCTTTTGTTCTATTTTGCATTATTTCACTGATACTTGGCCCTTTTAGATGGGAAAATGGGACTTGAAAAAAAAATCATGTCCTATTTTTCCTTTTTCTTGATCCGTACGCATTTCACTATATGTACTCTCCACATTATATATGAAGATACGTAAATTGGAAACAGTAAATCTTATCATAAGCTTCTTTGAGAGTGACGTATCAATCCAGGACACAATGTGTATCCCACATTTCAAAATCAATTATTTTTAATCGTGATTGAATAGTAAGTTTTACATTTTTTTTTATAATAGAGAACATATATAAATATTTTAAAATTTTCAAATATATCGTATCCTCTTAAGACAGTTAGGGCCGGAAAACAGCTGGTTACGAAGCACAAGCATATATAGGCTAGACTTTCAAACCCTATTTTTTTTTTTCAGGAAACTAACTTTCCATAAATGAGAAAGGAACCTTTTTTTTTTGTTTGGATAATGTAATGAAAATTTACATGTCAGGTGCTGCTTTCAGTTGCTGATTCTGCCCGTCGATCAAACTCAACTGCCTTCTGAGTCTCGCAATATGCGATTGCACCTTTTCATTCAAAGGCATCGTCAAATACAGTATATTTTCACTAGAGAAGAAAAAGAAAAAAGAAAAACAATTCAATTTGATGCTCAAAAACTTTAATTTCACATAGTTAAGAAGATGCTTCTTCAGGATAACAATCAAGAGTTCTGAGGTTTCTGACATTTAATCAAATTAAGGTCTAAACATCAAATAGTAGCTCATGAAGGGGACTGGAAAAACTAATTGCTAAGAGATGCCATTTGTTTGTTCTGCAAATATTATTCCCCAAAAAAGCTCCTTT